ATAAATAATTAATTAATATTTAAAATAAATAAATTAAATATTAAAAATGTTTAATATAATAACCTCTATGGACAGTCGTGTTATCTATCACATTTCCATTTCCATTTCCAAAATTAAAAGCCTCTTGAGGTGGTTTTCGAGATGTCATAAAAACATATTTCGCAAGAAAAGGAATGAAGCCTTTATTTTTTATTTCAACACTTTCGTCAGTATCGTTTAATAGCTTGACGATATCTGACCATCCAATTGTCCTATATCTAAAAAATAAAAAAAATATTAATTTTTATATAAATAAACATAGTAAATAAAAACTTACCATTCATCAAACAAAACAAATTCATGTTTATTATAACCGTCGAACCAATTTGAACCAGATTTTTGTTTCTGAGGTTTTGAATACAGACAATCGCCAAATAATTCTTGTATTAATCCAGATTTTCCAGAGCCGCCAAGCCCAAATAAATAAATATAGCACAGACGCCAGAATCTTTTAATATTTACTTCTCTAATTTCTTTTTCTTTTTTGATCATATATTCTAAATCTTTCAAACTCCTAAGCCACGATCTCGGTAATAAATCCTTTTTGTTCTCTAATATATCATTTATTGTAAGATTATTTTCGATAATATGATTGATTCTCTCAATATCCTCTAATCTCTTTTCATTTAATGTGTCGTCACTTTTTTTTAATTCGGAAGAAGTTCCTAAGTAACGATAATTTCCAAATTCCCAAGGTCCATTTTCAACACTCGTTAATTCTGAAGCTTTCCAACGAGCAAGAATACGTTTGTCTATACAGTCTTTAGTACAGACGTTACAAATTTTTTCTCTCTCTTGGAAATCACAACGGCATTTTTTTTTATGATTTGGATCCTTACAACGATTCCATGTCTTTTGAGAGTATTCACGATTCTTATCTGAATCACCATTCAAGTATTTTGGGAAATTCATTGCTTGGTGATTGAATATTTTTTTACAGAGGTTATAGTTTGGCGTTTTTCGAATTGGAAATATGCTTGTTCATATAATTTTCCTAAATCAGTAGCTTCATATTGACCAGAAATGTATGTAAGTCCAAATTTTTCCAATACAGCAAATTCCTCTTTTGTTTTTGGTAAAACACGTTGACATTTAATGTTGGATTCTTTACAAGCTGAACAAATAATTTCGTTACATTCGTTCAATTTACAGCATTGAGTACATTTTTTATCCTTACATCGCCAATGACACTTCTGACATTTATCACATTGAGGAACTGTTTCTGTCTTCGAATACTCTTCCTCACGTTGCTGTTTATCCTTATCAGACAGATTTTTCTTGCATTTGAAACGAGTCAAACAAGGAATACAGTA